CATTTTATTTTGCCCAGACATGGGAATCTAGCCATCTTTCAAGTGCAGGTACCTACCCTTACTTTGGGTAAATTTTTGTATGAATATTTTTTCTAAGCCTTATTGAGTTATCTAATTATATTCATGTATAAATCTTTTTTTGTTATTGTTTTTTATGTATGAGGTTTTAGGTAGAACATTACTTGAGCAGTGGTCCCCAAAGTGAAGGGTATGTACCTCTATGGTACAAGACGATTCATTGGAAAGCAAGAACAAAATGCTATTCTCATGTATGCTTTATAATTACATAATGTATTGAATAGCTGTGCATGTGTAAGGCCTATAAATAAATGGTCCTGTATGGAGATGTATGTGCAAGGCTTTTTTTGTTTTTTTTTTTTTAACTAGTAGGAAGGTGTAATCACAAAATTCTGGGGACAACTGTTCTGAAGACATGGAGTCAAATATAGCTATGTGGTTCTTAATCCTATGTTTTGTGATAAATCTGATGGGAAAATTTTTAAAATTACTTTGCTAATGAAATTTAAAATATCCTGCTAGCTTCAGCCCAAATGGAACACATAAATACCAGTAGAAAGAGCTTTGGATTAGATGTCGGACTTTTTTTTGTTCTACTTCTGCTAATTACTAATGGTGAGAGTTTGGGCAAGTCCCTAACGGTCTCCATTTCAGTTCCCAAATTGGCATAATGACACTTGAAATGTTTCGAGTTATCACTGTGTAGAATGAGAGTGCTAAGTATGACATATGCAGTGACCACAGGAAATTAGTCATTTTGTGTCTTGGGCAATCCTGCAGTTTTCTTAGGCAAAATATCTGGTGTTCCTTGGTTTTTGCCATCATTAGGTCTTCCCTTTCTCACCCCACCTGACCTGTTACTCTTAATTGCTTTCTGTTCTTCCTCTGTTTGCTTCTGACAGCAGATCTTCCAAATTAAGCGTCATTGCCAGAAGTTCAGTTGGTCAGAAAGGAGTCCACGTGACGCCACCTGTCACCATTGTGATATAGCACTGTTTCCTTCCTCTTGCTTTTAGTGTTAAAACACAGTGTTCAGCATGTGCTGTGGTGAAGGTGCAGCTGTGTGAAGACTGCAGTTTACTCTGATTTCTGGCACTGTCTTGGAGGCTGGGGAGTCGAATTATTGGGCATCTGAATGGTTTCTGTTTGATATGTGATAGTTTCAGTCTGTCGACATCCTTGGGGATGTGAGCCTTTGTTTAAAGTCAAAGCATGAAGGGAAGTGGATACAGAAAGATGGGAAGAGGTTCTGGGGAACTGTGTTAACGAAACAGCTCACATGCTATGGTCAAAGATCGATTCACTCTCCGAGGTTCGCTTGCATTTGTTGATACTGAGCATGCTCAGTAAGACACCATAAAATTGAGAGAAATGAATTTCACCTTTCACCCTCAACTCTTGTTTGTGATTTCTATTCTCTAACATCCTTTATCCTAAGGAAATAGTTGGCAGACATTTTAGGTTGTGATCTCCAATTTCTTCTAAAGGGTGACACCTATTCTTGACTCTCTTTCTTGGGCAATAGAAATAACCGACATAACCATCCTTAAGTCCTGTTCATTCATTGTCCATTCTTTCATTCATACACTCAAAGGATATGTTTATTGAGCACCTATTATGTACCCCTGTTCTAAGTTCTGGGAACAGAGCAGTGTCCAAAATAAAATTTTTAAAAAAATTGCCCTCAGAGATTTTACATTCTAGTGGGTATTAGTCATTGAGGTTAAATAAAATGAGGAGTTTAGCCAGCCCTGGTGGTCTAGTGGTTAAGATTTGGCGCTCTCACCACCAGGGCCCAGAGTTATTTCCCGGTCAGGTCTGTCAGTTGTCATACTGTGGTGGCTGTGTGTTACTGTGATGCCGAAAGCTATGCCCCTGGAATTTCAAATACCAGCAGGGTCACCCATGATGGACAGGTTTCAGCAGAGATTCCAGACTAAGACAGACTAGGAAGAGGAGGAACGAGCTGGCCATCCACTTCCAAAAAAAAATGGCTATGAAAACCCTATGAATAGCAGTCTAACGTTGTCTGATAGAGCGCTGGAAGGTGAGAGGATGGTGCAAAAAGTCTGGGCACCGTTCCGCTCTGCTGTGCACAGGGGCGCTAGGAGTTGGAATCAACTCGATGGCACGAACAACAACAAAAAAGAGGATTAGTGCTAAGGAGTAAGGAGAAAAATAGAATTGGGGAGGGAGAGAGGAACTGTTGGGGAGGGGCAGTTGCCATGATTTATAGAGTGACCAAGGAGGCCTCACTGAGAAGGTAACCTTTAAGTTGAGACTTTACTCTGATGCTTCCGATTATGTACTCAGTTAGCAGTTAGTGCTGGGGCAGAGAAGATCCTGAATCCTAAATCTGACATGCCTGTGCCTATTTATGGAATAACTTTAGGATTGTTAAGGGTATTAGGAGCTAAAGCTGCTCATCTGCCATCAAAGTGCTGGCTGCTTCTGGTCTGAAAGAATTTTTTGAGGTCACTATAGAGGTCATGCTGACTCATGCCCAACTGAATCATCCACCCCTCTTGCAAAGGATGTACCTTTGCAGTTGATGATGTGGTTCTGTGGTGGCCCTAGTGATTCAGTCATCCTTGATGGGACCACTGACCCTGATGGGCACGGGCCCATCCAGAATCACTTGACAGAGGGAGCCCTGGATTCTCCTTTATCTAGGGCCTTTGCTGCTGTATATGTGTTAACTAGTAGTCTGGCCTGTGCTTACCCTCGGTAGGAAATCTCAATAGAAATGACGGTGAGCTTTGCAACTTGATTTCTCTTCTTCTAAAATGTTTTTGGAAATTGATTTTGTCTTTGTACCTAAGCATCGCTGATTCAAAGGACCCCATTTATGACAGTGGGTAGCACTTTGGGAAGATGCCAAGTGTTGCTTAGACCCATATTACCAACGGCCTATCAGTTCCTGAAATGTATGAACGTAGGTGTTTAGTCGCTATCTCCCTTCCACTGGAATGTAAGCTACTGGAGGGCAGGAAGCTTGTTTTAGTCACCACGGCTACCCCTGTGCTACCAAAACAAAAACAATGCCAGTCATGTAGTAGATGCTCAATAAATATTTGTTTCATTGACTAACTAACAGGGTACAAGCAATATGGTGACAAGCAACATGACCAGCAACCATATAATGGTGCCTCATGAATTATCTGTTGCCCCAAAGATCAAGAAATGGAGACCTTGACCTCCTTTCACTAGGGCCTGGACTTTGTTTCTAATCATTGCTCTCTCCTCTGTGTCAGTCTGCCTCTCAGAGAAACTCATGCTCCTTAATGAGTGTCTAACCTGGCTTGTCATCCTCTCTCTGCCCAGCTGTGACCTTAGACATGGCTTTGAATCTCTGTGGGCCTATTCCAGCTCTAAAATGTTCTCATTTTATAACCTGGCAAAGCCAGCACCTGCTGTTTTTTTGTGTGAAGCAAGAACACCTTTCTAGAAGGAATGGAGCAAGCATCTTCTTCTGAAAGTTACTTTTTATAATGAAGTGTGTTTTTGCTCAATGCAGTTAAGTCAATTCCATATGTGGAAGGCTCATAAATGATGTCATTCTCTTTGAACTATTAACTTTAATCTGTTTGTTAAAAACACAGGGATCCCTATTACTGACCATTTGTTTGAAGCTGTGTATTTTTCATGTGAAATCTGTATCATCTCTCACACTTAAAAACAGATATGATGTGTAGAGAATTGAAAGTAACACGTGACTTACGTAACTTCATTCTCTTGGAAATAGATTATCGTGGGCTATGGACTCAGAACTAAAATTGGAGCTAGCAAAAAAGAAGATCTAGTGAAAGTCAACAAAAAGCAACATGAACAAAGATGTTCATTGCTGTATATTTTATAATAGTGAAAAACTGAAAATGTTTCCATCAATAGGAGTCTGGCTAAGTAAATAGTGATACATTTACACTATAGAAAGTGGTAAGATAGTTAAGAAGAATGATATATACCCTCAAGACGTATTGTTGAGAGAAAAAGAAGTGACATTATAGAATATGTCCAGTATGATCCCGTGTGTGTATAAAAAAGAAAACAAAGCATATTTTCTATCTGACATATGTGTGTTAACTCATAGAAAAAGGTCTGAAAGGAATAAAATGGTTAACAATATTATTTCTGGGAATGAAATAGGATTGGTGGGGCTTGGCACAATGGAAGTGCTTCAATTTTACTCTAGGCCTCTGTGTTTTTGGCATTTTATAAAAACGTACTCCTGGTTTCCTTTTGCAATTATAACACCTAAAATTATTGGAGAGGAAAAGATGTGTGACAAAGAGAAATGGGGCATAAGGTGAGATTTGAGATCAGGAAGAAGGGAAATGAAGCACTTCAGGGGACTGAGTCTGGCAGTTATCACCGTATCCTGTGACATTTCATGAATGGGGATTTGGAGGTTGTGCAGTGTTTACAGGATGACATATACATTTATATATCTGCATCACTCCAAAAGGTATGACCTAGAATGGAAGGCCCCCAAATCAAGAAAACCCAAGGATTTTTAGTATAATTTTCACATGTACCTTCTTTTGGTCTATTTGTAAGTGTCGGGTGAGAAAAATTTCATGTTTTTAGGAAACATGGATTCACTTGTATCCCTGTATGAATAATTCTGCCACAATAACAGAGCAGTTGTATCTACCACAGAAGTCTTTTCTCTAGCTCCTAACTTTATTTCCAGTTGGTTGGATTTGTTCATTCAATCCGTAACTTTTATCGAGCTCCCTCTTATGCAACTCTGTGGGCTGGCAGAAAACAGACAAGGCCCCTGCTCTCTTATAGTTGGGGGCTGAGGGGTTGAGGGGGTGGAGAGGAATGACAGTAAGGAGCTAAAAAATATCAGGAAGTGAGAACTACTATGATGAGAATTAAGCAAGGTGATATGACGAGGAGTAACCGGGGAACCACTTTAAGAGAGGTAGTTAAGAAAGACTACTTTGAGGAAGTAATTTGTAAACTCATAAAGGCATGCAACAAGACAGGAAGGAGCCAGATGCGTGATCATTTGGGGAAAGAGCGTTTTAGGCAGAGGGACTAGAACAACGCCGTTAGGGTGGACAAGAGCTTGTCGGACTCCGGAGCTTGCTGCGTGGTCGGGACGTGTGGAGGGTGGACAAAGATAAGTGAGAGAGGTCTGCAGGACAGGATCGTGTCATGTCTTAAGGACAAGGTAAGGATTCTGGATTTCATTGCAAATGTGATAAGAAGCTGTTGGGGGGGGTGATTAGGGGAATGACATCTGATTGAGGTTTATAAAAGATCTTTCTGAGTAACTCTTGATTATAAATATGCAAGAGTAGAAGCAGGGAGACCCATTGGGAAGATGGCAGGAGGTCCAGGTGGGAGAAGATGGTGACTTAGACGAGGGTGGTAGCTATAGATATAAACTTGCTGATGGGTTACAGATGGAGAGCTAGGGAAAGATGGGATCAGCGATGACGCCTAGATTTTAGGCTTCAGCAACTGGGAGGTATTGTTCCCTGAGATGGGGAAAACCAGGGAGGAGCAGGTGTGGGAGAAAATCAGTGTCTGTTTTGGATGTATCAGGTTGCGATGCCCCCTGGACACATGTCAAATAGGCAGTAAATGCTAGCCCGGAGTTCAAGGGGAGGTCAGGAATAGAGCTACCCACGTGGGGGCCATCTACAGACAGAACGGTAGTATTTAAAGCCCTGGAACTGACCCCCAAGTCTCAGGCTTGCTCACCACTCTGGATGTGCGTACTCCACCCTTCCTTTAGGCTAAATGCGCCTATGCAGACTGCTTCTGTCTCTAGGCCTACCCCTTGCTGACCTTGCTTTTACTGTTGAAGGTTTCCTTGAGGTTTACAACGTGGACAGTGGGAGAACAGTGGAAAGAAATGTGCGCTGGGCCTGTAATTACGGTGACGAGAGTGCTTCTCATTTGTGTAGCTCTCGACATGTTAATCGTTACCAGATTTACTAAAGCTAAAAATTGAGCTTAAAAGTGAGTGGACCGAGGCCGGCCCAGTGGCGCAAGCAGTTAAGTGCGCGCGCTCCGCTGCGGCGGCCCGGGGTTCGCCGGTTTGGAACCCCGGGTGGGCACTGGACTCACCACTTGTCAGGCCATACTGGGGTGGCGTCCCATATAAAGTGGAGGAGGATGGGCATGGATGTTAGCCCACAGCTAGTCTTCCTCAGCAAAAAAAAAAACCAAAAAACAGTGAGTGGACCACTTTAAAGATAGATTCTAGAGTTACAGTGTGTTCTTTAGAGGGTATAAGCTAATCATAAATTTATATTGCTACTATAATATAAATAAGTACAAACACAAACTAAATAAAAATAAGAAACTATGAAAATGTGTCTTTACTTCCAGATGGTATTCCCATTTTGGGTTTGACATTTAATTTCATTGGAATAATGCATAGATTGTGTTACATTTTTATCTGTTTTATCCGCAGTATGTTTATATGACTTTATCCTTATATAAAAATAAACTTCAATTATTTTTATGCTTTGAAAACCCTTTCCTCTCCCAATGTCATACCCTCTGTGTTTGCCACTAGTTTTATGGCTGATTTATTTATCTATTTGCTACTTGTAAATCCAAGTGGAATTTACTGTGTTGTATAGGATAAAGTACAGACTATTTTTTTTTTGTTTGTTTTTTGCCTCCTCAAAAGAATTTGGAGTTAAAAATATGACTGAGCCCTTATTTATCTGGAATGATTCTTGCTTATTGCAGATAAGCTCTCTAGCCCTCCACCTGGCCATGCAGTGAGTTCAAGGCCCTAATCCGGTTGTACAACAGAATTTACACCAGCCCTGAGCCCGGAAAGATGGTGTCACAGTCTACAGGCCAGCGGGATTCTCCCGTGGACCCCTGGGAAGGGGTCATCGATGAGGCTGGTGACATTGATGGTTCACCCAGCCTCCTGGACACTGACCATCCCCCTTGCCAATCAGATGTGAGGTTCACGAGGCCCAGAGCTGCCTGGGTTAACCCCCAGTGTGTGCAGCAACAGCTGCAGGATCTGCGCCCCCAGGTGCCAACAGTTCGGAACAGTGGAAGCCACTCTGTGGGGGATGCAACCTCTCCCTTGGGCCCTTCACCGTCGTTCCCTGGGGACTCCGTGGTGGAGACATCATTTTCAGAGGATGCTGCAGATGCCATGGGCAGCAACCCTGCCCAGAGCTCAGGTGAAAAGAGCAGTGACTTCTCTTGTACCTCAATGGAAGAGCGAGCGGTGCTCCCGAGCTGCTCTCCTCGGATCCCTCTGTTCACAAGCTCCAAGATTTTGGCTGCTTCCCCGTGTCCTGACAATGCTGAGGCTGACAATGCTTTTTTCAAGCCTTCCTACTTGACAGCTTCTGCTGATGAAGGTAACTTTAGTCGGGGACTTCCCTCATTCCTGTCTCTGCACACGCTTGCTTTGCCTTGGTCTAAAGCCTGCGGTACTGTGTTCCTCATGAGAAAAAAAGATCACGGGTTTCCACTTTGACCAGAAGCCAGTGCATTAGCTCATTTAGTATTGTCTTTGGCCCAGCCACCTGGACTGTCACAATGGGTGAATTCAAGATTTCCCTTCTCCTTAGACTGCAGGGAAATGTCATCTTAGCTCAACTTCGTTGATAATCAATGCCATCTGCCATCTTTGAGCTGGTTGTGCCTTCAGGAACTTCCAGCTCATTAAACAGTCTGCAAGGCAGAGCATCGGAAGTGCTCTCAATTCAGTGTGTTGGGGGAAGGTGTGCCAGACAGTTAGCGGGGCCTCTGTTTGACACCAGTACTTATGTAGGGGATAAATATTTACCTGGACCGAGAGTGACTAGAAAATAGTAAGATTTAAAAAGAATAACCACAATTCCCCCAAAGACTATACAAAACCTTTTTTTATTAAAACAAGGGCTGCCATTGCTATGAGGTAATGCACATATTCCTAAAATACTGAAATTCCTCAAATGAGATAATCCATGAGAAATACCACTTAAGAGCCAATGATTTAGCTATTGTTGTTAAAATGTGTGGCATGCTTATTTTTAAATATTCATTATGTTACATTCATGCTTTGCATGGATTTATATTTCTGTTAGAACCCTAGTTCAAATAGTTAATGAAATTTTTTCTTTCAAAACAATTTTAAAAGCTGCCTGCCTGCCTCTGTGTGTATGTATTTATTTATTTCTTACTAGAAGGAAAAGTCCTCTCCCTTTCCTAAAATATGGGGTTTATTTGTTCTATTGGAAACTTTTGAAAAGTTGAAGATGATGACAATCTTTAACATATTATTCATAGCTTTAAGGATAGCAGATTTTGGACAAACTTTCAATGAGCTGATTTTGAGATAAGAACCAAATTTGAGCAAAATGACACACTCTGATTACAGGCCTTTTTTCTATCTTTTCACTCACCTGCCTGGATGGTTCTCAGGAAAAGAATGACTTGCAAATTAGTGGTTCCTCTGTAAGAGACTGGTCTCCTGCTAGACTGTCTCACAGAGGAGAGTGAGGAGATCTCGAAGAAAAGGGAAAGTCCTCTCCCCTACAAACCACCACCACCACCACAAGTTATCAAGTGACAGAAGATGATCTTTAGGGCCTAGGATACTCCTGCCCGAGACCATTTGTCGTGTCACCATCCAGGAAGTGGTTCTGCAGTTTAAAATGATCTTGTATCTTTGTCTTTCTCCCAGAAAGAAAACAGGTACCCCAGCCCCTCTCATTCAAAGACAGGGACTCCCAGCAATCTCTCTAAGTACCTTTAAAAACCACTCAGTCTTTTGAGAGTATCTCTTAAATGTGGTGAGGGGATTCATTCCATGGGATTAAAAAAAAGAAGTTCTGAGGGGTCTGGTTCTTTCTTTCTTTGGTGTGGGGCAGCCACGGGGAGAGCGGGCATTTGCCACTAAGACATGGGATTGTCCCCTGACTGCTCCATCTCCAGTGGCAGCCCCAGCACTTTCCTTTTCTAGATAACAGGATATGGAAAGACCACCTGAGCCTGTAAGCGTTTCCTGAGGCTGTAAGAAACAATTCCACAGTTCCTTTTGTTTGCATAGGCTCTACACATTTACAGAGCACTTTTGTATTCCTTATCTCCTTCAGTCTCCTGATAGATAATTATCCTAATTTCAGGGATGAGGAAATTTTTAATGTAGAGGCACAGCTGGTGCATGGAGAGCTGGAACTGGACTCCCCTCCGTTTGATTCTTCTCTGTGCTTTTCCCTCTGTACTCGGGATCTGCAAACCATGACCTGCTGGCCAGATCTGGACAGCCTCCTGATTGTACAAACAGAGTTTTGTTTGTTTTGTCTATAGCTGCTTTCTTACTACAGTGGCAGAACTGAGTAATGGCAATGGATGCTGTGTGGCCCTCACATCCTACACTATTTACTGCCTAGTCCTTGTCTTTTTTTTTTTTTTTTAATCCCCCTTTTTTTTTTTTGTGAGGAAGATCAGCCCTGAGCTAACATCCATGCGAATCCTCCTCCTTTTTTGCTGAGGAAGACCGGCCCTGGGTTAACATCTGTGCCCATCTTCCTCCACTTTATATGGGACGCCGCCACAGCATGGCCTCACAAGCAGTGTGTCAGTGCACACCCAGGATCCGAACCCGGGCCGCCAGCAGCAGAGTGCACGCACTTAACTGCTCCGCCACGGGGCCGGCCCCAGCCTAGTCCTTTTCTGAAAAAGTTTGCCCAGCCCAGGTGGCTTCTGAAGCTAAGAGCCAAGTTTTCCACAGAACAGCTGCTTTCCTGAAGATGAGGTGAGGGATTTGAGTGACCTTGCTTGCATCTCTGCATGTCACCGTGAGAGCCGTATGATCATCAAGACATCTGTAGCATTTTGTTCTGATTTAGCGGGTTATGACACCGCAGCTCTTATGGCTCTCACAGAAATGTCGCCTTAGATGCTGCAATAAGAGATCACATGACGAATCATTTTTGTTTTGATGGTGTTCATTGCCAGTAATGGAGTGGCCTCAGGGAGCAGAATGGATGAGTCAGCCCAATATGCCCTCTGCTGTTTTTTCTTGTTTTTGATGGAGGAAGACCATTTTAGAGAAGCAATGTGACCTTTTGCAGATAGATTTTGTTTCCGTAAACAGGAAGTTTTGGGCCAATTGCAGTGAAGGGGAGAAGCGATCCCATAATTCTATGGCTCTGCTCCTAGACTGTTCCTTCTCACCTTCTTCATCTCCTTTAGGTGGTTTCCATGATCCTCTTCTCTTTCTACCTTCTTTGCCTCACTGGTCTCCTCATTCCCATGCCTTGTCTGAGGATTCCTCCAGAGTTATTCCAATAGCTTCTTGTAGAAATGACCACCATGAAGGCAAAATCTATAAGGCCCACCACCAGAAGGGTCTTTCTTCTTCTGTCATTCTAATTTATTCTAGAATTGTGCTGATTTTTTTAGAACGATATTTAAAAGCCACTCCTTAGAATTGTTTTGCTTTCTTAGGTAATCTTTGAGCTTCTTTTTCTCTAGTTTTAATAACTTGCTATATTGGCAGGTGCTGTTCAAGCCAACGGAAGAAACATTTCTCTGAATTCCTTCCCACCAGAGGCCTTCGTGCTCCCTGTCGATGTAGAAAAGGTGAACATATCTTCTTCTTTTTTCTTTTTAAAACCACAGAGAGTGTTAATCCCTTAGATAGTGCCGTTGTGATTTCAGTCTGTAAACTCCCCTTGATGAGGCCTGGCAAATAGGTTTCATTTCAGCATGTGGTAGAGGCTGCCAGAAGCACTAAGCTGAGAAGGGTTCTGGGCAGTGTCTGTGCTTAGCGGAAGGTTTTCCATGACTGCGGAATGATGTCTAACATTGGGCCACCGCCAACCTAGGGTTTTATATCACAAGACATTCAACTTGGGTTGTCTGTTGGTTACAGTGGGCTAAATCTTATGTCTCTGAAAGATATGAGCTATACTTCATATAATGACCTATGATAACTCAGTGAAATGAACATTTTTATTTCTATGCATTAACTCCACTTAAATGCAGTGTCTTGATTTTTCAATCTAATACAGCTTCAATGAAAAATGTTGATTTTCCTTGCATTTTAACTAATAGGTTTTTTTTTTTTTCCTGCAGGAAAACGCCCACTTTTATGTTGCAGATATGATTATATCAGCAATGGAGAAGATGAAGTGGGACATCCTGAGTCAACAGCACCCAGAGAACTGGAGTGTGGAAGAAGCCAGTAGGTCATCTGGGGATGATCAAGCTGACTCTGAAGTGACCTTTTCTCCCAACGTAAAGCAGGAGTCTGGGTCTTCCACTTCTTCAGACAGTGGCTATGAAGGCAAGTGGGGCAAATAGGAGAAAGCTTTATGCTGTGTTCACCACATACATCTCCTGTCCTCTGTCAGATCCCGAAGTCTGTCTTTAAATCCTTTGTCTAAAACTTCTTGAGTCACCTATAGAATCCTCACCATTTCTGCCTCTTGGGCTTGGAATTGGTTATCACGCTCTACTCAGTTGTTAAATCAATATGTTTTCTCTTGGACTTCATCCTACTTCTCTTGGTGGCTATGTTTTCCCGCCTCCTTTGTTTTCTATCATGTGGTGTTCTCCTAGCTCTTCCTACACATCGCTTCTTTTCCAAGTAGTCTTCTTTCATTCATTCCACAAACAAGGAGCCTGTGATGTGCTGGGAATCAGCAGGCATCAAGATGTGCCCCTTCCCTTAAGGAGCTTTCGTGCTGGAGCAGAGGCTGAGGGAGCTGGGAGGGGGGTCACTCTGCCAGCAGAGGCAGGGCCCAGCGCAGTGGGTCACAGAGCGGGAGCAGCGGCCTCATTCTGGGATCTGGGAGGGAAGGGTACCTAAGCTGAGAACTGAAGTTAGGGCTTGACATTTTCTTACCGTTTCCTAAACGTGAGTCCTCCTTCAGTCCTAGATCCTTCTTTTTCTGTGTCCACTTCCTGGGAGATTTTATCCACTGCAATATCTTTCCATTGTTCCCTCTGGGTTGATGTCTCCCAAATCGGTGTTTTCAGTCCTGCACCTCTCTTCTAAGTGCTTGTTCCTTTCTTCCAAAAAAAAAAAAAAAAAAGACTAAAGACTAATGCTTTTCCTTTTGACTTCCTTTACCTAACATCTTAATCAGGAAACTTTCAGTAACAAGGGGAGAACTTAACTCCACGTGGTATGTAAATAGTACAATGCCAGGGACAAAATAGGTGTGCACTAAATAGTTGTTGAGGGGCCAGCCCAGTGGCACAGTGGTTAAGTGCGTGTGCTTCACCATGGTGGCCCGGTGTTCGCAGGTTCAGATCCTGAGTGCGCACCGACACACCGCTTGTCAAGCCATGCTGTGGCGGCATCCTATATAAAGTAGAGGAAGATGGGCACAGATGTTAGCTCAGGGCCAATCTTCCTCAGCAAAAAAAAAAAAAAAAGAGGAGGATTGGCATCAGATGTTAGCTCAGGGCTAGTCTTCCTCACAAAATAAATAAAATAAATAAATAAATAAATAACAGTTGTTGAATGCACCACCTGGCTAAAGTTCACAGGGATTTTTTGAAAGTATCTAGAGCATTCTCATTGAACCCAGTTGTGGGAAATACAGAATGACCAAGATAGAGGCAGCTCTGGTGTCTGCCTTTTCTGGGGCTTTGTGGCCTCTCTTCACTTTTCTTTGTGCAATTGCTTCATTCTCTCTTTTCTGAAGCCTGACTTCTACCCACCCCCTAGCATCTGGTTTCAGCTCTGGAGTCTCCTTGACTACTCAGCCAGGACCTTGAAGCTCTTGTAGGACCCCAATCCAGATTCCCAGGGGAGGGCACCTGGTTGGGCCTGCTTTGATTGGGTGTCCAAACTGGTCAGCCAGCTGCGGCCAGGGGAGTGAGGGAATGTGATACGGACCATCATCCTCTCTCAGGCCACAGTGGGGAGAAGAGGCATGTGGGTGGAAAGGAAATGATTCCTATTTCAGTACACTGCACTCTGTTGTTGACTTTCTTCTTCCTCGTGCCTGTGCCCCTGTCCTGTTTCTAGTTAGTGAACAAATCAGTCCTGACTTCTCGGTAATAGCAACGTCCCCTCCATCCATTCTTCATTCCTGCCTTTTCCCTGGACCACCGCAGCAGGCTTCTGGCCAGTCACTGTAAGAACTGCATTTAGGTCCTCAATACATATTTGCTGCTGTTAATTTTCTCTCTTTACTTTCAGCCTCTTTCCCCTGCGTCTGTCTTCCCAGAACACAACTTCTTGTCCTCTAAAATGGCCTGCTGGGTTTGTTCCCCATTTTATCCTGGGATGTTTATCCTGTAGGATCCAGCTTCTCCCTGCCTTTGCAACAGCCGTCTCCTGCCGTTTCCCTATGTTGTACTGTGGGCTTCAGTTATACTAGCCTGTGATGCTTGCCGGCAGACGTTTCTCCTGAGCTCCTGCCTCCCTCCCTTCGGCTAGGCTCCCCTGAATGCTGGCTCCCCAAGAACTGCACATTAGTTCCTTTGTCCTCCTAGTCTTCAAAAGCAATCTCCCGCCACCAGCACTGTGACCTGGTCCCTGATTTTTATCACAGGGCAGGGGAACCGTTTATGTGGAATGAAACCTAAGTTGTGCTCCAGAATGCTCTGTAATTGTCTATGTGCATGGCTCCCCCTGGAGTTGTGCATTGTGGAACCCTGCCTCTGAACTTCTTAAGGTCCATGACATGCAGCTGTGTTTTCTTGTGGTTAAGTGTTTCTGTGTCTCAGTTCCTCATGAAATTTTAAACTCTTCGATGGATGAGAATTTGTCTTATTTGTATTTGTGTTTTAACATAGTACCTGGCCTAAAATAGGTATTTTATAAACATTTGTTGAATGGTTGAGTAGAAACTGATGCTTAGCTGGAATTTTTAAAAAATATGAATATGTTAAATGAAATTTTAAAATATTTCTACCACCCAAATAGAAATATTTATCTTTTATTAAGTATCTCTCTTGTGACATTTATGGTGATACATGTTACCCTATGAGGTAGGTTAGCATTCTTCATTTTGTAGGCTGGTCATGAGAGCATTTAAATTAAAAAAAAAAAAAGAAGGGGCTGGCCCGGTGGTGCAAGCGGTTAAGTGCGTGCGCTCCACTGCGGCGACCCGGGGTTCGCCGGTTCAGATCCCGGGCGTGCACCGACGCACTGCTTGGCAAGCCACGCTGTGGTGGTGTCCCATATAAAGTGGAGGAAGATGGGCACGGATGTTAGCCCAGGGCCAGTCTTCCTCAGCCAAAAAAGAGGAGGATTGGCAGATGTTAACACAGGGCTGATCTCTTCACACACAAAAAAAAAGAATAGAAGGTATCAGCAGGCACCTCACTTCCGGTGAGCAATGCTTCCTGAAACTTTTTTATTGGTTAAATATATTTTTGTGTTTGTACTAAGTCACAGCATAAATTGTATGTTACTGTATGTATAGTCAAAAGAGTGTGAGAAACAGAGGTGGGTGCTATTGTTCCCATTTTTCTCACGAGGAAACAGAAGCTGAGAAGTCGATTGTAGTCAACCAGCTAGGATGGGGCAGTGTGGTTTTAAACTCCAGCCAGCCCACTAGGAAGCTGGTTCTCATAACCTCTCTGTAACCTATGGGCTAGAATATTTCCCTAAATTGTACAGTCATGTGCCGCATAGCAACGTAGAGGTCAATGGTGGACCACATATACAATGGTGGTCCCATAAGATTAGTACCATATAGCCTAGGTGTGTAGTAGGCTATACCATCTAGGTTTATGTAAGTACAGTACACTCTGTGATGTTCGCAGAATGACAAAGTTGCCAAATGACGCATTTCTCAGATGGTATCCCTGTCATGCGACACATGACTGTATTCATTTCTCTGTTTCTCTCCTATGTTTATTCAAATGAATACAGCTTCATAGTAATTATATACTCATATTAATGTACTTCCATTAATACTATGACTATATTATATTAACAGTATTTCATATACGGTTTCCCAGGTTGCTACAGTTTTCACATTTTTCAGCGACGGTATTTCTTGAGTTAATAGTGTGACTTGCAAAATCAGCTTCCTATTATTTGGCATTTAGGTAGTTTTCAATATTTTAATATTTTAAAGGGACTGCAAATAGTTCTTTTGTGATCAAAGCTTTCTTCTTTCACTTTTTTTTCTTTAATGACATCCTTAGGATAATTCTCCAGACTGGTATGAGGGATAGAAAAGCATGAACATGTTTGTAATAGTTTCTTAGGGCTGCTGTAACAAAATACCACAAACTAGGGGGCTTAAAACAACAGCAATTTATCATCTCACAGTTGTGGAGGCTGGAAGTCAGACATGAAGTTGTTGGCAGGATTGCTTCCTTCTGGAGGCTCTGAGGGAGATCTATTCCATGCCCCTCTTCTGGCTTCTGGTGGTTGCTGGTGATCCTGGTGTTCCTTGGCTTGTAGACACATCACTCCAACCTCTGCCTCCATCTTCACATGACGTTCTTTCTGAATATCTGTGTCTGTGTCCAAATTTCCCTCTTTTTGTGACACCAGTCATATTGGATTTAAGGCCCACCCTAATCCAGTATGACCTCAGCCTCATTTGATTACAGCTGCAAAGACCCTGTTTCCAAATAAGGTCACATTCACAAGTTCTGGGTGGACAGGAATTTGGGGGGTACACTCTTCAAACCAGTACAATGTTTATGTCGCCTATATTCTTTGCCTCACTGTGAAACTGATTGTTTTTTCCCCTCTTTTGTATTTTTAAACTTTGTATTATGGAAATTTGCAAACATACATGAATGTAGGCAGATTACTCTTATACCCAGTATTATTCCATATGCTCATCAGTCTTAATCATAGTGAATGTCAGAACACGAAAATAGCTCCCTGAGTTTTTTAATTCTTGAAGCTGAATTTTTAAGTTCTTTTAAAGTAAACTCTTCGCCCTTTTCATTCCCCAGTTTCTATTTAGTTGGATGTTGCAGGTTGTACAGTTTTTCTTTTCCTTTGTGTTGGTGAAACCTCCTTCCTTTCTTTTTCTAGGTTGTGCTGTGTTACCGATCAGCCCAGTGGTTGAAACACCTACTTACTATGATGGGATGAAAGAGGACTGCAAATGTGATCTTGATGAATTTGTTATTGTAGGTAAGATCTGGATACTCAGTGGCTGTGACTGGGGACCTCCCTCCCATCCACACACATGTTGACATGTATCCTGCGCAGTACCACATTATTGTGTCATTCAAAGAAACTTCTCTCAAGATCAGATTATGTCCCTGATATTAAAAAAAAAGATGTTTTTCTTGTTTGAAATGTCTTGATAGTTAATCCTTCATCTCACTTGTAGAACTGAATGCAAAAGCAGATACTCATTATGGTCTGATGTCTGTTCAGCCTCTCAATTATATTTTGGTGAAATTTCATATAGGGTATATTTTGAAATATCATCTATGGTCATTAGCTGTTGTCTCATAATAGAAACCCAAAAGAACTTGAAGTATGGAGATGCTGAATAATGGGTTCTTTCTGAGAGGCAGGAGCTGTTTTTGTGTTCTTATAAAACTGACTCTGATGAAGTGCAACAGACTGAAAAACCTCACTACTCTTTCTTTTATTTTCCCACAGAACTTGGAGAGTTTGGCAATACCACAGAAACCTGCGGATGTGCCTGCAGCTCCCCCAAGAGGTATCTCTCTTCCATGTCCACCTGCACATAGGCCCCTGGGCCATCACCTCTGATGCACTCTGAACGCCAGGCATCTGACATCTCAGGCCAAGTTCAGCCAGTTCCAATGACCGGGATTACCACTTAGAATGAAACAATCACCACTAAAGTTTCTACAGTGTTTTTATAGTGTTTAAAAGACTTTTGTATACATTCTTATTTAATCCTCATGGATAGGCTGGGTGGGTTTTCTTTTCTTAACCCCATTTTATAGATGTAGAAACTGAGGCTCAGACATGATGTGCCTCAGGACACAATACTGTTAAATAGAAGAGGTAGGACTTAACCCAGGTCCTCTGGCTCAAAATCCAGTACCCTTTGGACCACACCTCCAAGTCTTGGTACCCTCAATAAAGGGAAGCTGTTGTGTTGAGCATGGAGGAATTGGGTTGAGTAGATAACTGGTGGGTGGTTGATACATGGTCTCTTTTAGGATGCCTCTCCTGAGTTTTTGGAGTGGGAAGGATAGTGGAAAACATGAAGACCCTTAACACACTCCTCATGAATATAGTTTTCCACTTTCTGCATCTCTTACATTTCAGTATTATTTATGAGCTAGACTTCAGTTCTGCTGAGCTAACAGCCAAAGAGTTGTACCGAGTATTCCGGAAGTGCTGGATGTTGTCAGGAGTTAATTATCAGCTGGCAGGTTCCCTGGATGCAGCTGGCTCAATAGTAAGTACTAAAATAAGTTGGCCTTGAATTGAAAGTTCATAAATTCTCATTTTGCCTGCTGTTCACTTCAGACATTTATGTGTTTCCTTGTATGGTTGCTGGGTGTTGGGGGAGACTTGAAGGACAAAACCGACATTTATAGAGGACCTATTATGCATGAGGGACTGTGCTTAGCAGTTCACGTTTTAATCTTCACAAGCATGCTGTTAGGTAGATGCTACTGTTATGTTCATTTTAAAGTGTTAGTCCCAGACCCTCAGCAGGGCTAGTCGGTGGTAGAGCAGGAGTCATGTCCAGGCTGCCTCATTTGAAAGTCCAGGCTGATTCCCCTGTAGAACACTCTGCCCTCTGACAGCATGTGCACAGGAGGGTAGAGAACTTTGTTGCAAAGGCTAAAAGAGATAGGAACAAAGCACTGTGGAAGTGCGGGGGAGGCAGTGTTTAATTGAATAGTGGAGCTTGGGAGGCTGACTGGAGATCTGAGAACTTGAGCTAAGTATTAGGCCAAGCAGAACTGCAGCAATTAGAAACATGTGGAAGAGGGCATTCTTGGCAAAGAGCAGCTAGAGCAAAAGTGACATGGAGGTGGATAGTGTGTGTATTGAACAGAGTGGTTTGGTGTGGGTGGACAGCATGTGTCTCTGTGTGGAGGGGGGTTGATCTTCCTGGGAAATAAGGCTTGGATGATGGTGGCTAAATTGTGGAGGACGTAGAAGGTTAATTTGAGGAGTTTGGATTTTAAATGCTAATAGGAGAGTTTAATGGTTCAGAGGGGAGCCACTGAACATTATATGTGGGGGAATGGTCTTAGGAGAGCTGTCTCTGGGGAAATCTGACGACAACAGGGGGTTCTGATTGGCAGCATCTCCCAGCCTGTTGACTAAGGGGAGTAAGGCTTCTGCTATATGCATAAAAGCATTCCAGGTCACAATGACCTACTTACAGTAATTTGAAGTCTGGAAACAAATTAACTAACTAAAAATACTACAAAAAGTGATCTCAGCTGGGTGGTGTTTTAAGCAATTCTTCTGCAGATGGCTTTAGATACATGAAGGGCTCTTGCTATGTCCAATAGTTCAGCTGAAAGCAGTTTTAATTTTTCATGGTAAATTTAATGTTGGAAGCACATTTGAATGATGTTTTTATTTCAGTTCTTGAAATATGCTTGTTTAAGTTGTTCCTAAATCCTCTTCTGTGTTATGCAGGTTGTAAATGAAGAGCGTGTCCGAAAAGACTTTGAATCCAGCGTGGATGTAGTACAGGAAATTAAATTTAAGTCGAGGATCAGAGGAACTGAAGACTGGGCGCCCCCTAGATTTCAGATCATATTTAATGTTCATCCACCACTCAAGTAAGTCTGGGTTGCTGCTTGGGCCTCCAATCCAGTTAAAACCAGTTGCCATGGATCCCACCTGACCCCTTGTAGAAGTAGGTGAAGGAAAAAAATAATATGCTGAGGGTCAAAGGAAAATTTGTTTTAGGAGAAGAAAAGTTGGGCATATTTTTATGAGTTAGCTTTCTTGGCATCCTGTTTATCATGGGCTTTTGGGGGCTCTGTAAGTTGTGATGAGTTGAGAATTTAACTACATGTCCTTAATTATGAACATTACATAGCAAATGAAAGTTAAATAGCCTTAAAGGGGATTTTTAAAGTGGCTAATATTGAACCTTAAAAATCATATACAATAATTTTAAAAGATTAGACCACTCCTTTTTCCAGTACAGTGTGAAGTAAGAATTGATGAATAAGTTTTTTAAAAAAGGAAAATTTAATCTTGAGCAGAGCTCCTATAGTTAAGAGATGTAACAGAATGCAAATAAAAATACCTTTGTTCTCTAAGAAGTAACAAAAATCCTAAAAGACAAAACGACTAAGATGAGGCAAAAAAAAGGAAATAAACCCATTTATTTTATACGTACACACAAATATATATTTAAAGTAGTCGTTTAATTTGTTCTGCGAGTGTATGACCCTATAGACAAAGGGACATTTTAATCAACTACAATTTTTCTGTTCCTCTTGGTTTGTATTTAATTTGATGTGCAAACTGCAGAGAGTTATGAAGGGACTGGCAAGACCTGTCGACTGTGCCCCATGGAGGTGCCTTACAGACTCTCTCTTTTATCTTTTTCTTTGGAGAAAATGCCAGGAAGTTCTCTGGGGCTGCTTGGGCAGGAGTGCTCCCTCTCCACGCCTTGTGAGGGCTCACTTTCCTTAGCGTGGGATGTCTTCTTTCTGGGATTCCCCTGGGCCTCTCTAAGGCACGTAGGCAGGGATTCTGCATGTGTTTACGTTGGCCATTGTTGCTGACCCTGAACTATAATAAAATTGTACAACTTTCTCCACATTTGCAAATCACATGTGAGATTGTGACGCCGACAGTTCAAAACAAAATGCTTCAATAGACTGTCTCTCGCCAGCAATGTTTGATAGCTTTGCCTTTCATTGCCCCCTATTCATCTAAATTTCTTTGGATCCAGTTGTGAACTACCCAAGTGCTTCATCTCTGCTGTCTCATCTCCCTGAACTTTCTCCCATGCGTTACGTGTCTTTGGTTCTCTCTGGAGAGAGAATTCCGTGCATGCGCAGTGGGAAGTCCCTAATGACCCCTTGGTGGAATAGTTATTTGTGATACTGGCTTCTGCTTTGGTGGTAGCAGGGCTTTTGAAAGACCCAGAAACTTCAACTAGAAAACTCTATTGAATAATTCTACTTGTTTCCCAAATGAAAAAGGACAAAATTAAGGCCCCAAGCCAAGAAAAGTATCATCATGTCAATTTCTTTTCCAATCAGTGAGAAATGCTCCCTTGGCCTTTTCTGAAATGTAACTGTTATTCTTTTCTGTACTCAGGAGGAACCTTGTGGTAGCAGCCCAGAATTTTTTCTGTGCTGGCTGTGGAACTCCAATAGAACCTAGTAAGTATGGATAAAGGATTGCCTACTGATTATGGGATGATGAGGTGAAGAATAGCAAAGTGGAGTGGTGCATTGTTTTTGTGAGAGATGCCTTTGATGAGAGGTTGTTATAAGAGCTTCATGAAGAGGCATCGTGACCTACAAGGCTATGTGACTGGCCTGTTACCTCTCAGACTCTTATCTCCCAGTTGGCTCCCCATCGGGCACTCAGCTCTAGCCACATGACCTCCCTTCTGGTCCTTGGAGGTGGCAGGCTCACTCCTGACTCAGGGATTTGCATTTGTGATTTTCTCTCCCTGGTATGCGCCCCCCACCCAAGACATCCCCATGGATGTCAAAAGTCAAAAGGTTTTCCCTGGCTGCCCTATTGAAAATGTTCACCTTGTCACACTCCTGGCCATACACATACACATGTATGCTTTGTATTACTCTTCTTTCTTATTTTTTATTCTAGCAGTTATCTTCTTAAAACACTCTTTTAGATTTTACTGATTTTTCTTATTATTGTCTGTCTCCCTCACTAGATTCTAAGTTCTGTGAGGCCAGATATGCTGTCTGTTTTATTCATTATTTTATCCCCAGTTCCTACAAGAGTGCCTGGCCCACACTTGGTCCTCAAAAGATACGTTGAATGATTGAGTGGCTTACCAAGGAGCTAGCCAAACTCCTCTGAGAGGCTTTGAGGAAGTGGCCTGAGGGGATCATTCCTGGGCCAGCTGAGGCCTAGAAAATCAGGCATCCCAGTCAGAAATGCAAGTCGCCCACTTGAGACTGGAATCACTTGTTCTGTTGTGAGGGTATTCGTAGGTCTGACCTGTGGAAGGCTGGGAAGAGGAACTTTGCTGGAAAGGGCTCCCTTGGCCATTGATAGGCAATTTTGGAAGGAAAAAGACTTAAAGGAGCTCGACTTCAAGAAATAAAAATAGAAAGCAGAAATCTGTCTGGGCTTCATTCTCCCATGTTGAATGATAATGCCTGTCCTGCATCACAGTTATAGCTAATTTTCTTTAAATGAGTCATCTTCCCAGCTAGTCTTGCAGGGACCATGTCTATTTGGTTAACCACTGTGTCCTGGTGCCTCAGTAAATATTGAGTGCATGAGTCAGAAACTATGGACTCGTGACTGTGATTCCACCAACTCTTTAAGTACTAAGCTAAGTTTGTTCAGATATGGAGATGTGAGCCTGTCCTGTGGATACAAACATGGTCCTTCCCTCATGGAGCTTGCTTACAGGAAGACATAGTCATCAGCCAAGTAAATAACAAGGGTGATGCGTGCAACGAAAGAGAAAATCAAGAGTGCTGTGGGATTTACAGCAAGGGAACTTACTCTGGGCTTGGGGGGCTGGCAGTGAGAGGTTTCATAAGGAAGTGATTGTCCCCAGAAGACTGGGTGCAGGGGGTCACCATGTGCAAAGGGCCTGAAGCTATTGCAAAGAAGTCCTGTGTGACTGGAGAGTGAGAATGAGGGGGAAACATGCAGCAGAGGTGCGCAGAGCACAGATCATAGAGGCATTATCAACAGTGTGACAATTCTAGACTTCTCCTGTGAACTTCCTATAGTTCTTAGGATAATTGCTTTAAGCTTTTTATTTTGAGAGAACTTTACGCCTACAGAAGAGTTGCAAAAATAATACAGAGACATCCTGTATACCCTTTACCCAGCTTCCTTTAATGTTAACATCTTATAATAATTGTAGTTTAATTATTAAAACTGGGAAATGAGCATGGGTACAATCCTGTTCGCTAAACTACAGACTTTATTCAGATTTCACTAATGACCTTTATCTGTCCCACGATCCAGTCCAGAATTCCACATTGAATTTAGTTGTCATATCTCCTCAGTCTCCTCCAATCTCACACACACTGAACCATTTGAAAAGCAGGAGACAACATGACATTTTACCCTGTAATAGTTCAGCATGTCCTAAAAATAAGGATGATGAACGGTTATCACAACAAAAAAATTAAGAACGGTTCTCTAATATTGTCTAATACTAGTCCATGTTCATTTGTTGTTCTCAAGATGTCATTTATAGCTAACTTCTCCATCTAGGTTCCAATCAAGTTTCATACATTGCATTTACTTATTAATTTTCTCTAGTCAGCTTTATTCTGGAACTGCACTATTCAGTATGGTAGCCACTAGCCCATGTGGCCATTTAAAATTAAAAATCCAATTCCTCAGTCACACTATCTACATTTCAAGTGCTCAATAGCCATGTGTGGCTGGTAGCCACTGTATTGGACAGCACAGATATAGAACATTTCTGTCCTCACAGAAAGTTCTGTTGCACAGCAGTGTTCTAGAAGTTTTCCCTCTTATTATTTTTTTTTCTATGACAGTGACTTTTCCTCAGAGGAGAATAATTGTGGTTTAGAGGAGGGTTTGTCAACCTCAGTACTATTATCTTGGGGCAGTGGGGGCGGTGCTGTACATTGTAGGATGTTTAGCAGCATCGCTAGACGCCACTGGCAGCTCCCCAATTGTGACAACCAAAAATATCTCTGGACATTTCCAAATGTCCCTTGGGGGGAAAAAATAACTCCTGGTCGAGAACCACTGGTTTAGGGTCTTTGTTTTGCTCTGTTTTAGGTAACAGACTGAGGAAACCCAAAGAGATGGGCATAATTTTTTCTATATTGATAGTATAATGCTTAGTACATATTCAATGAAATTTGATGAATGGGTGACTGGATATTGAAATGTTAGGATTTTAGTTGTTAGGAAAAGATGAATTATATCAGGAAAATTTATTGGCCCCTTCTGTCGTCCTTTCTCTTCCCATCTTGCTAAGTTGATCAGAAATATAGAGTACAGGGGCCAAGGGTATACCTGTTTTTTTCCCTATTTAATATAAAATGTATGTAGGTGCCAACATAAGCCAAATAATACTCATTATCTGCCACATCAGAGATCTTAATCCAGGGTGGGAAATAGACACAATACGACAGACTTTTCCAAGTTTCAAATTTGAGAACTCAGACATAATCATTAGGCACTTAATAAGTTCTTAACACGTAATTTGTCAATCCTAGAGAGACGTCACGTAATTAATTCAGAGTTTGATAATAGTGTATGTACAAATGTACTTGCGGCTGACCCTCATTATTCACAAATTCCATATTTGCGAACTCGCCTAGTCGCTAAAATTTATTTGTAACCCCCAAATCAATACTCATGATGTTTCCATGGTCATTCATGGATACGCACAGAGCACCAAGAAATTTGAGTCACCTGAAATTTGAGTTGCTCAGTGCACACGTTTCCAGCTGGAGTTGAACAAGGCAGTGCTCTGCCTTCTTGATTTAGTTCTCATTCTGTAAACAAGTCCTTTTCATGGTTTACTTAGAGCCATATTTTTTTTTTACATTTTTGCTCTTTTTGTTGGTGATTTAGCTGTTTAAAATAGCCCCTAAGCATAGTGCTGAAGAGCTGTCTAGTGCTCCTAAGTACAAGAAGGCTGTGATGTGCCTTACAGGGAAAATATATGCATTAGATAAGTTTCATTCAGGCATGAGTTATAGTGCTGTTGGCCCTGAATTCAATGATATGAGTCAACAAATATACTAAATAAGATGTCTTTAGACAGAAAACACACATAAAACAAGGTTATATATTGGTGGATTGATGAAAATGTTGTGACCAGAGGTTTGTTGTGACCTTCTTTATAGAACATTAACTACTGCAAATAATAAGAGTCAACTGTATTTATTGTTTACATTTAAAAATCAACTCTGAGTGTGACCTGGGATTGAGGGGTAATTTGGGCAAGTGCAAAGGCATTAGCTCCTCTTCCTTTCCCTCCATCAAATGTTTGGCAGAGAAGTGGGATATGATGGCTAAAAGCTGGAGCTTCTGCAGTCCAGACTCGGGTTGGAATCCTGTTTGCCTGCTTACTGTTTGTGTGTCTCTGGCGTGTGGCTTAACTTCACTGTCTGATGCTTTCATCAATGAAATAGGGGAAATAATAGTCCTTACTTAGTCCTTACATAGTCCTTATATAGAGGTTCGAGCACAGGGTGATAGAGTGTGTGTAAGATATTGAACCAGTACATGGCACAGGGTAATGTTCAATAAAAGTTTGCTCCTGTGGTCACTCAGGCCTTGTTTATTAAAGCTGTCATAAGGACACTATATTTAAAATCGACAGTGTGCTGGGTACTGTGCTAGCTGCTTTCCCATCCATTGTTTCATTTAATCCTCACAACATTGTTTCATTTAATCCTCACAACTAATATTTGTATCATACCTTGTGGTATCTTAATTACAAAGAAAGCCGTGAGTCAAAGGGTGAATGATGAATATCAACCTCGGCTCATGTTAGACCCCAGTGTTGAGGGAGGGCACGTAGGAGACTTAACTGAATTGCTGCTTTCTTTCTTAAGCTGGGTGGTGGGTACCCAGGTATTTATTGCAATAGTTTCTAAACATTTTGCTTTTCGATGTATTTTATTAGAGATATTTCCAAGAGCAGTGCACGTTCATTTTAGCAAATTAAGTGCAAAGAGCAAAAATCCTTTCTTTCCCTCACCCTCCAGAAGTATTTGCTGCTGGCTTTTTGGTGGGGGTCCTTTTGGACTGTGCCTTTTGGATATTTTAAAAACAAAATCAAGGTCACATGATACATACCTGTAGCTGGATGTCCACTGCCTGGGCTCTTGCACATATTCATAGGCTCTTCAGCATTTCACTGTTGAGTGCACCATACTTATTTGGCCAGTTGCTTCCTAATGGATATTTAGATTGCTCCCTCCTCCATTATAAATGTGCTGTAGTGAACACCTTTCTCTGTCTCCATGTGTGCATGCTAGCATTTCTGTCTGATGTCACAGAAGCAGATTCCCGCTGCACGTTTGAGAATTGGAGTCTGTCACAGAAATAGCCTCCTGAAGGGGAGCACTCCAGTCAGCACTGTGAGTGAGTGCCACCACTCTATGCCTCATCAGCTCTGGATCTTCTCAATTTGTGACAGTCTGAGGAAAAACAGAACATTTCAGTCTTTTAATATGCATGTCTTTGTTGCTGAGATTGTTTTTCACATCTTTACCATTATCTGCATCTCTTCGTTCCATGTATTGCCTATTCTCCTCCTTTGTGCATTTCTGTATTTTTTTCTTACTAATTTATCAGGAACTCTTTTTGGATGCTGCTTCCTGACAGTGTGTGTATAGTGCTTTATAATTTACAAAGCACTTGTCATACACATGATACCACGTCATCCAGTTCTCAGTCGCTCTCTGTGGCCTCAGGAGAGTCAGCCTGAAGAGAGTCCGACTTGTCCTTAGTCTTCCTGCCAGTAAGAGGCGGAATCTGGACTCCCATCTAGATTTCCAGACCCTAAATCTCGTGTTCTTTTGGCTACACCGCAGTTTACAACGCCCATATTCCAAATCCAGGAGTATTTTGCGAGGGTTCTATTTTTCCGGTATCTGTTCCACGAAAGCACAGCTCGTGAATGGCCATGGTTTAAGACCTCTAATCCCTGCCAGAGCTTTCCCAGCTGCTTTAAGGTCGAGCGTGGCTTTCGCAGCACGAAGACAGCAATCCGAGCCCTGAACCTTGGGTGGGCATTGGAGGTGAGGGGCGGACGAGGCTGGGTTTCAGGGTCGGGGGAGCGGTGCTCACCCTCCCGTGTGCCCCGCAGAGTTTGTGAAGCGGCTCCGGTACTGCGAATACCTGGGGAAGTACTTCTGCGACTGCTGCCACTCGTACGAGGAGTCCTGCATCCCTGCCCGGATCCTGACCGCGTGGGACTTCAGGAAGTACTACGTCAGCAATTTCTCCAAACGGCTGCTGGACAGCATCTGGCACCAGCCCATTGTCAATTTGTTGAACGTCAGCCACAGCCTGTATGCGAAGGTCAAGGAACTGGACAGAGTGAGGGTGAGCGGCTGTCTCTGTGGGGGAAGCCAGTGGAGCGGCTGCAAGGGTCCTGTGTAAGCAAATGCACCTCACACAGAGGATCCGACAGACAGTCTGTGGGGCTAATTCACCCTCAAGCCAATGGAGCTTAGTCTTCACGTCCCCTCACCCGCGTGGTCTCTTTCCAAGGCCGCATACTGAGTTTTAGATTGATGCATAGTTTTGTATTTATATATAGCTTTAAAAATTAATTTATTATTTTTTAAAATAAAAATTGTATATGTTTAAGGTATACAACAAGATGATTTGATATACATATACATAGTGAAATGATTACTAGTTAGGCTAATTAACATGTCCACCTCCTCAGGTAGTTAGGTTTTTTTGTGTAGGTGGTGAGAGCACCTGAAATCTACCCTCAGCACATTTCCGGTATTCAGTACTGTGTTGTTAACTATAGTCATCATGCTGTACATTAGATCTCTAGCCTTATTCATTCTACATGACTGCAACGATGTGCCCTTTGACCATCTCCCCAATTCCCCCGCCTCCCCACCCCTGATATCATTGTTCTACTCTCTGCTTCTGTGTATTTGACTGTTTTTTAGATTCCACATATAAGTGAGACCATGCAGTTATTTTCTTCCTGTGTCTGGCTTATTTCACTTAGCTTAATGTCTTCCAGGTTCATCCATCTTGTTGCAAATGACGGGATCTCCTCCTTTATGTGTATAAGTTTTGTGTTTTTCTTAAAGAAGGCCTCCAATGTTGTGTAAGCTTCAGGCTCCACAAAACCTGGGTCCCTCCTGGACCCTCTGTGCATCTCTGGACTCGGTCATGAACCCCTGCTATATAGACTTTACTTCAAAGGCTTGTTTTATAGAGTTGTAGCATTTCAAGGTTAGAAATAACATCTAAATTTGACTTAAACATTTCCAGTGTCATTTATCACATTTACCTTTTCCCTCTGGTTTCTCACCTTAGGAAACCCAGGAGCAGCTTTTTCATATCAAGAAGTTGTTGAAGACCTGCAGGTTTGCTGAAAGGTACTATTGTTGGCTGGGACAGCCTGGGCCTGTGGGTTGGGACGATTGATAACCTCCTCATCCTCTGTGTGCCTCTTGGTCCCAGCTCCTCCAACACACAAGCCCTCTTAGCACAGCAATGACCTCATATCTCTCCCTGAGAATGCAGACCCTCTCTTTAAAGTTCCTAAACCTTCTAACTCACTAGTAGTGAATTTAACTTGTTAAGAAGAATGGGCCAGTACAAGGATGAAACTCTAGCCAGTGGCCTTTATTATTATTATTATTATTATTATTTTAAACTGTGATAAAATACACATAACATAAAATTTACCATCTTAACCCTTTTTAAGTGTCCAGCTTGGTGAAGTTAAGTACGTTCGCATTACTGTGCAACCATCACCACCATCCATCCACAGAGCTCTTTTCATCTTGCAAAACTGCAACTCTGTACCCATTAAACTGTTACTCCTCATTCCCCTTTCCCCCCAGCTCTTGGCCACCACCGTTCTACTTTCTGTCTCTATGAGTTTGACTACTCTAGGTACCCTACATAAGTGGAGTCAGACAATGTTTTTCCTTTTATGAATGGCTTATTGCACTCAGCATAATGTCCTTAAGGTGCACCCATACTGTAGCATGTACCAGAATTTCCCACCTTTTTAAGGCTGAATGATATTCCATTGTATGTATATGTCACATTTTGTTTATCTTTGTATCCGTCTTGGGCTGCTTTCACCTTTTGGCTATTGTGAATAGTGCTGCTATGAACATGTGCGTACCAATGGCCTTTTAATAACCCCTGATAGAGAGGCATATTGAACTTTTATTGGCTTTCTAGTATTTTATACTATAATGTGGTGTTAATTTAAGTATTGTCCTATTACTGAATACCTAATAGATTTTTAATATCTTTTGTTATTTAAAAAACTAGGCTTTAGCTGAATCTCTGTCCACAGCCATAGGTATGTCCTTAGGATAAACTTCTAAAAGTGGAATTTCTGGAAGCCATAGCCATAAAGGTATAGGTATGAATTTATTGACAAAGATAGAAATTTTTTTTTTCCTTAGGAAAACTAGATAGCAAGAAAATCATAACTTTTTAATCTGTCTTTATACCTTTAATTTTTCTCCAGTTTTATGGAGTTATAACTGACTTACAGCAATGTATGAGTTTAAAGTGTACAGCATAACGATTTGACTTAACATATATTATGAAATAATTACCACAATAAGTTTAGTTAACATCCATCATCTCATATAGATATAAAAAAGAGATTTTTAAATAGAAAAAAGAGTAGGTTACTCAAGGGGTTAATATTATTTGATATAATAGATAAGATCATAGGTTTTAAAAATTTTTTATTTTAAAGCTTCCTTCCATTTCTGATCTTTATTTAATGATGATATATTGCTTTTGAATTAGATTTCTTGGAGAGGAGCATGACATTTGTACTCATGTGGCCTTGAGCTCTACTTCATGGCATTGGTGTGACAGACTAATTACTTCTCAGGCCCTCAGTTTTCTTGTCTGTAACATGTGACAATACCTACAATTCTCACCATCTATAAAAATTTCTTAAATATCCATTCTGTGCATCAGATAAAAAAATCAGTAGGACTCGTGTTAAGTCCAGGGAGAAAGTGAGCACAAACAGATCGTTGCTGGACTGTGTGTTGGACACATATGCACGGTGCCCTGATGGTTCAGAGGAGGCAGCATCTAGTTTATAAGGGATGGGGAGGAGAAGAGAGCAGGCAAGGCTTTCTGGAGAAAAAGCCTGAGCTCGAAGAGCGAATCGGTGTGAAGAAGAGGGGTCAGGGGTCAGAGGAAGCAGTGTGAGCGAGCGCCTCAGGCGGGATGGAGAATTCCACATGGTTTGGCATCACTACAACGTCAAGTCCAGTGTCGTCAGTGGCTGGCTTGGGACTGCAGTGCATGGTGATGCCACTACCTGATTTAGGGGATTCGGGAAGAGATCAGGAAGGTTTGGAGAAAGTTACATTCAGTTTTAAGTGCCTTTGGGACATCCAAGTGCCTGTGACCAGCCCGCATTTGGGTGCATGAGTCTTAAGCCGGTGCTGCACTTGTGGATTTAGAATCACACGCCTGCTCGTGAGCAGGAATTCTCCGGCCGGCTGAGACCACTGTTGGTGACACTGACAGACTTAAGTTTAGCTGGAATGAATGAGGTGATCATTGTTGTCTCAGTACACGTCCTTAAGACTTGAACAACAAATTTCAGTTTTCTTTTGCTCGATGTGTGCTGGGGCAGGCTGCAAGAGACATTCTCTGTTTGTTCAGCCTTTTGAAATTAGCTTTTATGGAATTTTAACTTCCTGGCTTCCAAGCAAACTTGCAATATGTAAATTGGCGAGTAGGGTTAACTGGTTCTTGGGGTTATTTTTTTTTAATTGAGTTAAAAAAATGAAGTGTGAGTGCCAGGAGAAAACAACTGTCTGCCCCCTCTTCTTCCCCTGGCCTCCGCATGGGTGGGTTTTGAATCCTCTCTGTTTCCTCTCTCACAGTGTATTAAAGGAGTTTGAGCAGGTGCCGAGACACTTGACTGAGGAGCTGCACCTGTTCTCTCTGGAGGACCTGGTCAGGCTCAAGAAAGGGTTGCTGGCGCCCTCGCTCAAGGACGTCCTGAAAGCTTCCCTGGAGCACGTCAGCGGCTGCGAGGTGAGGGTTTGCCCGGGGCAGGTACGTCCCTCAGCTGTCTCTTATGTGTCAGGGCCTTGCCCGGCGTTCTGCACTTTACCTCAGTTAACCCTCACCAACCTTGAGGAAGTGCTGGCAACACTATTTACAGGTGAGAAAAATGAGGTTCAGAGCTGTTAAGTAACAGGCCAAGATCACCCTGCTCGTAAGTGGAGGGCTGGGATGCGAGCCTGGGCCAAGCGACTTCTCCCATCTAAGTACTAGCCAGGCCCAGCCCTGCTTAGCTTCCGAGATCAGATGAGATCGGGCGTGTTCAGGGTGGTGTGGCTGTAGACCCAAGCGACTTCTTAGTCTGGGCACCCAGCCCTGCCTGGGGCCTTCCTCGACTCCCATCTGCCCTGACGTGCCAAATACAGCCATGTGGACTCAGGATCCAATGGAATAGGAGCTCTGTGTCTACAGGGACTGAAGAATTGTAGTGCAGCTATCAGAAACAAAATTAGATCGTCTAAGAATACATGTTTAAAATCATGTTCTTTCTCTGGTGCATTAAACCGCCTTGATGTGAAATTTCTCCATGCAAAATGAATGCACATTTGTTGTTGACCTATTCACTGCACAGGATGTAACATCCTGTTCCTTCTGGAGGCTGGAATCCCAGATATTGAAAAATCTCTGCTTATAAAGTTCTGTAAAAGCAGTAACTCAACTTCTCCATCAAAAGAAACATGACCAATGAGGATATTTTGGACTTCTTCTCTTACAGCTGTGTCAAGGAAAGGGCTTCATTTGTGAATTTTGCCGGAGTACAGCCGTCATCTTCCCATTTCAGACATCAACATGTAGAAGATGTTCAGGTATCTTAATAACTTAGTAGCGTGAGCTCAATAATAGCTTAATAACTTAAGTGCAAAGTTAACAAGTTTAATAACAGCTTAATAACTTAAGCACGATGTTATTTCTTTAAAGTATGATGATGCTGGTGTGTGCTTGTATGTGGGATTGGAGCTAATAAAGTTTTAGGTACACGGTGGGGAGTATTTGGGTGGGGCAGGCATGAGGGCGATGTCTCCTGGTTCAGGATGTGGAGAGAGGAGCTGGTCCCTGTTTTGCTTATGCCTGAATACTTCTACCCTGGGGCAAGCTACAGCAGCCCCAGTTTTGTAACTGGATCACAGTCATGCCAACGCTGCAGTGTTGTCTTTGGCTTCTTTTGCACGACAGTGGCAGAGTTGAGTAGCTGTTGTGGAGACCGTATAGCCCAAAAGGCCTAAAACATTTACTATCTGGCTCTTTACAGAAAAGATTTGCAGACCCTTGTTCTCCTGTATTAGTGCCTGAGGAAATCCCATGCTCTCTAAACTGTTTCATGGGAGAGATCTGGTAATGAATTCTGCCTTCACCCTTGACGTGAGCAGGTCCTCCTCTTAGACCACTCCAGTGTTGTCCCCCCTAACCCATGAGGCAGTGTCGCAGGATGGGTTCTCCAGTGGAGAAACTCTGAGGCAGGGATTTGCATGCAGAAAGTTCACTGAGGCATGTTGTTAGGTTCAACGCCCATGGGGTTGGAAAGGTAGAGGGCGGGGCAGAGGGAGAAGCTGAACTGTGGTGTGGTTGCAATAAAGGCTTAGCACATCTCATGGGGGCCTCTGGAGTGGAGATGGCCTTCAGTGTTGTCCCAAATTGGGGACAAGGGGCCAGCTAAGCCTTTAAACCCCTCATTGACCAGTCACCAGATGCAGGCCAGTGGCAGCAAGGGGACATGACCTTGAGCAAGGCAGCTCTCTCTAGTTAGGGCCATTTCCGGAGAAGGGACGCTGCCCCCTGAGCCATCAGCCACCAGCACTTTCAGCAGTTGGGGGACGGTCCTTGGGTGGATCTGGGGGGCAATGTAGCACCCACTACATCAGGCTCTCTGAGCCTCATGTTCATGACCTCTTGGGGTCGTTATAATTCCTCTGAGTTTCAACCTGCCTGGTTTCTGTTTGGAAGACTCTGGTTTCTAGATTCAGACCCCTGCCCTCCCCAGAATGGGGATGAGTGTCTGTATGTATGTGAGAAAACAAGATAGCCCATTTGCTGATGGCTGTCCCCCTCACTTGCAGTGTGCAGAGCGTGCTTCCACAAGCAGTGTTTCCAGTCCTCCGAGTGCCCCCGGTGTGCGAGGATCACAGCTAGGAGAAGACTTTTGGAAAGTTCGCCCTCCACAGAGACGTGATGCCCCTGAGTATTGTGAAAAAGACTGTTCAACATGCCTTATAACACGGATTTGTGTCTGTTATTGATAACATTGTTTTAGATATCAGGTATTGTATATTAAGAAAAAAGATGGCCAATGTTCTCTTTATTATATATATTTAATTTTTTAAAAGAATGCAGATACTTTATTATTAAGCATACGGTTGTTGCTGGTGGTTTTGTTTACAAATGTTCAATGTTTTTGCTGCTACTGTTTTTTTTTTAAGAGTTTTTTTGGTACTTCTTAAGTTGTATTTTAATAGTTGTATTTAGCTAATGTTGGAGCCTATTTTTTGTGGACTGTAGCTGACAAGATGAATTACTCAGTTCTTCTTCCTGTAAAGCTTGTTTTGTGAAATGGATTGGTACTGTCGATGAACAAAAATGCAACCAAAAATGTTTGCTCGGGATTTTTTTCCGACTTAAATGCCATTTTTGTAATTGTATCAGTCTTACAGATTTTACTTATTCCAAGGTTTGTGTTAGAGTACACATTGCTTCTGCCACTACATCTATTTTAAGATCCTTGAATTGCTTAGCAGTGCGTGGAGGTGCCATTTGAAGCAGTTGCCTCTAGATGGCGCCCGTTCAGATGGCACAAATCAAACCTGTGTTTGTCATCTCTGTTTCACATGCTAAATCAAGGGATGCTCCCGTGAGCAGAACTTTATCTCTGCCCTTTAGGGTTTTGTCTCATCCATATAAAACTGAGAATAAGGTATTTTCAGACTTAAATTGTGGGAAAATACTGTTAATGAACAATGCAATTCTAGTAATAACATGAAAATCATAGACATCAATTAACAAGGTTAGGTGAATTACTAAACCGTTATGAATTCTTTTTCCTAATATTTCTTTTACTTATATGCTTTCTTGAAACAGGTGACCCTATTTTTTTCTTCTACCTCCTATATACTTTCTCCTACTTGAGAAAGGGCCCTGGGGCTGGGTCCCTGCCTGGCACATCTTGTCTGGAATGTGGGTGTCATTTCCCCCCTGGGATTCACATGTCCTAACTAAACCGACTCTGAGTGAACTCCTAAACAGCACAGGCAGGCAATAAAAAGGTCCAGGTCTGGGCCGGCCAGTGGCCTAGTGGTTAAGTGCGCACGCTCCACTTTGGCGGCCCAGGGTTCGCAGGTTCGGATCCCGAGCTCGGACCAATGCACCGCTTATCAGGCCATGCCGTGGCGGCATCCCATATAAAGTAGAGGAAGATGGGCATGGATGTTAGTCCAGGGCCTGTCTTCCTCAGCAAAAAGAGGAGGATTGGCATTGGATGTTAGCTCAGGGCTAATCTTCCTCACACACACAAAAAGGTCGTCCCCTAATCCCATCCACTCCTCTGTGTGTGTGTGTGTGTGTGTGTGTGTGTGTTTTATTCAGTGGGATATTATTGGGCACATGGAAGAAATGAGTGTCTCCTATCAACTCTTATTCTGTCACTTGTTTTCCCATCCTGGATGCCTCTGCCAGATCTGTGCTCCCATTTGTTATTTAAGCCGGGTCTCTTTTAAATGGAAATTCAGGCACATGGAATAAGATAAATAAGATCAAATTTAAAACAATATTTTATTCTTACCCATAGCTTATATTCCCTGTTAGGAATCAAGGGTTGGGGTGGTAGGTTGATATTCCTTATAACAGCTCTATGAGGTTCATGTCAATATCTTCATTTTACAGGTCAGGAAACTGAGGCTTCAAGAAGGGAAATAATTTACCTAAGTTCCCACAGGGAGTGCGTGGTAGAGCTGGGGTTGGCATTCGAGTCCGCCTGGCTCCAAAGCCCGTGTTCTTAGCCCCTACTTCCTCTGTGGTATCCTTTTGAGATAATACAAGCAAAACCACCCTAGACTTGTGAGTGCTGGTCAAACCTGAGTTAGTGGCATTGAGCTGAGTGCTTGCTCACGACATTCCCTTGTGTTGATTTAGGAAGTTGCTGTGGCTTATGCATTGTCGGAAGGGCTCCATGTTCCTGCTGCTGTGTTTGTAAGGTACTGGCGAGTGTGTGTGTGTGTGTGTGTGTGACACATCTTTGATGTTGAGGAAGAGTGCACAGCAGCTACCAGGAAGTGATGCTTTTGATTCTCTATTTTGAGGAAGAATGAGGCAACCACTCTACGGGTTTGAGACCTGGTTTCTCCCCACCCACAGTGGTAGTGCAGGCTCCTTCCCAATAAGGTGCCTGTGAGAACAGAGAAGTGGCGTCAGCCCACTTGCAGCACCCTGTAGGGAAGTAATTAGTTGTGACATATATTGCTCTTTAATGGGATTTACTCCTCACCTGGTTTTCTGTGCAACTCTTCCTTGGCTGCCGGAAGGAAGATGAAGACTTGGTCTTTCTCGTCAGACGTCACCCACAATGAGGCATCGATTTGCAGTGCTGGGATCTCAATGATTAATTTTCTGCCTTTACACTGTTCACTTGGAAAATTCCAGTAACATGTCCTTTACAGTCATGATTCTCAGCTGCAGGTAGTGCGTTACACCCGGGGATGTGGAGCGAGGAGGGGTGAGCCATCTTGGTGTTGATCGAGTGAGAAGTATTGGATTGATTTCCAGGTCTGCCACTTCTTACCTGGGTGACTCTGGGCAAGCTACTTAAGTTATCTGAGCCTCTGTTTGTAAAATGGGGGATAATAACTACATGCAGTTGATACCAGGATTAGAAATAAAAAATGAAGGACTTAGCAGTGGGCTTGGTACAAGCGAGGGCTCAATAAGTGGTAATGATTAGGTCTACAAATTAAAACTGAGTTTTACCACCTATGTTCTGTATCTTTGGAGAGTTACTCTCTGAGTCTCAGTTTAACATGAGGATTAGAACAATACCTACTATTGTGGGTTGAACTGCGTCCCCCCCAAACGATATGTTGACGTTCTAACTCCAGGTACCTGTGAATGTGACCTTATTTGGAAATAGAGTCTTTAAGGATGTGATTAAGTTAAGATTAGGTGATATGGAATTAAGTGGACCCTGATCCAATGACTGGTGTTCTTATAAGAAGAGGGAAATTTGGACAGAGATATAGACACAGAAATCAAAGGGAGAACGCCATGTGAAGGAGGCAGACATTGGGGTGATGCGTCTAGAAGCCAAGGAACACTCAGGATTGCTGGCAGCCAGCAGAAGCTAGGAGAGAGGCATGGAACAGATTCTCCTTCAGAGCCTCCGGAAGGAACCAGTCCTGCTGACACGTTGATTTCGGACTTCTAGCATTCAGAACTGTGAGAGAATAAATTCCTGTTGTTTTGACCCACTCAGTTTGTGGTAATTTGTTACAGCAGCCCTAAGAAACAAATGCACCTACCATTTGGGGTTGTTCGGAGGGTTAAATGGTGATTAGGTAGCACGTGTGGAAGAAGGGGCATAGTTTCTGGCACATGAGAGGCATTGTCAAGTTTTGGCCCTCTCACCTTCAGGTGTCAGGACACAGAAAATGGATTCTGAAAGATAACAACGACATAAAAACCAATACTGTCTATAGATTTGTGGCTGTCTGTATAGAGAGAGATCCCCAAAACCCAGGGCAATAGCGGCTGAACACTACTGCCCCTTCTACCTCAGCTCATAAGTGTTGGAGGGAGCTGCTCACCCTGAGGTGTTGGGAGAGAACCATGAATTTGGAAGGTGATGGTTTGAGTCATGGTGGAGGGGGTAGGGGAAGCTGACTGTTACCTACCTACATTAAAAAGCAGATGAATCCATCTTGATTTTCAGATGTAACAGAAATTGAAATATAGCTTCAAACAAATCTTGAGTGAGGCCTCGATTGTGAGTGTTAAGAAGGCCCCTGCTTTCCCTTATCATCTGCCCAGGGCTGAAGGAGGATCGTCATGGCACAGTGAGGGCACCTGTACCTACCCCACGCTATCCTCACTGCTGGCCCCACCCACAGACGTCTGCATGTAACAGGGGCACAGGTTCTAATGGCCCCGCCACAGCCCAGCTTCATGTGGGGGACCTCAGAGGGTGAGAGAGGCTGTTAAATAGAGGGTGTCTTGATGTCCTATGGAATAACCTTGCCTGTGAGCAACCCATGGGCATGTCACCTTTGTAGCCCTTGGCTGTGGGTATTTAGAGTGTACAGTCCTAGGAGATAGGGAGCCAGCCTAGAACAGGACTCCATTTTCAAACCAGGTCTGAGGCATCACCAGGACATCCATCAGGCAGAGGGAAAGATCCATGTTGCTGTGGAGAAGGATCTATTACAGAGGCCAGGAAGGAGATAACCAGAGTATCTGTCGAAGTGTAGACTACAGCTGGAGGCTGAAGAGGCACCAAAGAGTAAGTTTGCAGTATTGCTGCCCAACCCTGGGGGTGAGGAACAAGGCGTGGACTCTGCAATCATGGTGCTTACAGTTGCCCCTAAGGAGGCTGGCAGGGGCAGGGCAACAGGTGAGGAAAATAGAAGCCAGAGCGTATACGTTCTGAAGTTGAGGCACAAAGCACCGCAAGAGTGACAGGTTCCACTTAGGACTCTAAGAGAGGTCATGGAAACTGATCCCTGAAGGCTCAGCTAGACTCCGTATTGAAGAGAAGGGAGGGAAGAGGCTCCAGGAGAGGAGGAGCAGCACAGAGGCAGTGAGGCAGGAAACACAGGCTTCTCTGGGGAAGGCTGAGCAGAGCAGCATAGACTGAGGGATGTCACGGGGAATGAAGCCAGAAAGGTTAGTGGAGCCCAGAACATGGATCCCAGTGAACAGGAAGGGGTTTGGACTTCATGGGAGACAGGGAGGCTTTGAAGGATTTTGAGGGAGAGAGGGTCACGACTCAACCTATGTTTAAGGAAGATAATGCTGGGTCGAGGTGTGGGATGGATCAGAGCAGGAAGTGAAGGCTGACCAGCCGACATGATGAAGTCCTGAACGAGGCTGGCCACAGAAGAAATGGAAAGGAAAGCATGCTTGAAAAAGCAGGGGAGACCTAGCAGTGATGGAGGCACTTGTCCCAGGCATAAAATTCAAGGGAACCCCCAAAACTCAGTATTCAGGAGAAATCATGTTTTCATGCAATATTTTAAAAAATTAAGGTCAAACAATCCATGATGAACAAAATTTCAACTAAAGACAGGATCCTACCCTCTACTGGCCCAACTTGGTCTCTTTCATGTCACCCAAGTCCCAGCCTGTGCGAGGACGCTGAGGAGACACAATAGCCAGATGTTGTTGAGCCTGAAGAGGTGGGGTTGGGGGAGCCCCAGAAGATAAGGGAGGTTGTGAGGCTGACTAGGAAGAAGGTAGCACGTGAACTAAGAGGGGGACACAGGTTGGGGGGAGGTGTGAGATGACGGTGAGCCCACCATGGAAAAGCTCGGCAGTCAGCTAAGAAGGAGAGTCTCTGGGGAGAAGCAGGTGCCCGAGCGCCTGACCTCGCGAAGGGATGGGTGGGATCACCGGGGAGAGGAAGAAGGCCTGGGCAGGAATTTCCATAATGGTCAGCCTGTGGCAGAGGCTCCAAGAGAGTTTTGAGAACAGAGAAAAAGGATCAATGGCTGCAAGGAGTTCTGAAAGCTGTTCCCGGTGGAATAATGGGATAGAAGCAGATATCAGAGTTTAAGGATACGAGAGAGAGCAAGTGTGTGTGTGTGTGTGTGTCTGTGTGTGTGTGTGTGTGCAATGTGTTGAAAAATGAGCAAGGTTGAGAGGGAGGCAGGAGGGAAAAAGCCCGCCACTAACATTTGCAGAGCTTATACAAGAAAACAAACGCAGGCCCATGTGCTATAGAGCTAAATATTTAAAAACTGAACAAAATATGCTATATTCTCCTACCATGATGAATATACCTTCATCAAGACCTGGGAGGGCAGGTTTGAAT